TGGCAGGGTTCTTTCATCTGACCATCGTGTTTAGCTCCGCGTCATTCACGTACCGTGGTCAGAGGGTGTTCTCCGTGTTATCAGTCCTGCTGCCACTAATTACTGCTACTATTAGTTGACTTTGTGCCAGGTGCTGTTTGGGGCACTTGAGGTATGTTTTTTTGTTCAGTCTTCACCATAACCCCGCGAGATGGACGTTAACCCAGTTTACAGATGGAAGCACAGGCCCAGGAAGATGAAGCAAATTGCTCTTCACCCCTACTGTTAATAAGTGGTGCCAGGAATCGAACCCAGACCTGTGTGACCCCAGAGCCTGCCTAACTCAGTTCCCCTGACAAACGGCCCTTTGTCTCTCGAATAGGACAATGAGAGGGGATTAGCGCTGAGGCACGTGGCTTTGGCTGCCTTTTCTACCTGACCTAGAAGAGGATCTGTCTGGAGATTTTGAGGCATACTTGACTCAGGCATTGAGGGGTACAGAAGCCTACGAGATTGGCTCAGGTTTTAGAATTTGAGGAACAACAGTGTTTACTATATTTGGAATTTCAGGGTAAGTGGGAGGAGCGATCCCGGGCCTTGGAACCAGACAGATTCGGGTGCCAGGCCCCTATGCCAGAGAGCATGGCCTGTGCTGTCAGGATTCTGCCGGAAGGCTGCCGTGGCCGGAGACTGACTTGATGCGGTCCGGCTCACGAGTGGCCTCTGGTGGCCAAGGCTGGGGCATGCAGGCTGTGTCTGTGTGTTGGGTTTTATGGGGGTAGCTCCTTGTGCCTGGGAGGGTGGGGCTGGTGCAGAGCAGTCACTGCAGCAAGGTGTTGCCAAGCACGAGCCCTTAAATATGCCAGAGTTGGGCAGATGAGCTGCAAGGAGGAAGGGGGAGGGCACAGGCCAGAGTAAGACTGTTCTGGTCAGCCAGAGCGAGCTCCAGGCCTCACGTACTGGGCCAGGCCGAGTGGCTGTGGCCAGCATGAAGTGGTTATTCCACAACTGGGCCTTGCGAGTACCTTGCACACTGGAAGGCACCCGTGTCTGTGAGTGGTGAGCTGGTGCCTGGAGCACTGCTAGGCTTATAGTGGTGGACATCTCTGAAGCTAGTTTGTAGTCCCCCCCCCCGCCCGCCACCGCCCGCCGCCCCCCATCCCTGAGGACCGACCCGGCCTCTCTCCTCTCCCCAGGGCTGCATCGTGATCCGATACACAGCCCCATGGCACATGGTCTTCTTCTCCGAGTCCCTGGGCATCCCTTCACTTCGTGTTCTGGCCCAGAAGCTACTTGAGCTACCCTTTCATTACGAGATTGAGAAGGAGCCCCTGCTCTTCCATGTCTTCAGCAATGCCGGTGTCATGCTGTACCGATACGTGCTGGAGCTCCTACAGACCCATCGGCGCTTCTGCCGCCTGCGTGTGGTGGGCACCATCTTTGACAGCGGCCCTGGGGATAGCAACCTGCTGGGGGCTCTGCGGGCCCTGTCAGCCGTCCTGGGGCACCGGCCCGCGGTGCTACGCCTGCTGGTCCTGGTGGCCTTCGCCCTGGTGGCGGTCCTGTTCCATGTCCTGCTCGCTCCCCTCACGGCCCTGTTCCACACCCACTTCTATGACCAACTACTCGATGCAGCCTCTCGCTGGCCTGAGCTCTACCTCTACTCAAGGGCCGACGAGGTGGTCCTGGCCAGGGACGTGGAACGCATGGTGGAGGCTCGCCTGGCACACCGGGTTGTGGTGCGCTCTGTGGACTTCGTGTCATCTGCGCACGTCAGCCACCTCCGTGACTACCCTACTTACTACACGAGCCTCTGCGTCAACTTCATGCGCAGCTGTGTCCACTGCTGAGCTCCTTGCCCCACCCACCCAACTCCTCTCTGCTCCAGAAATAAATGCCCCACACCTCCCCACATCCTCTGTCTGTGGGTGGCAGGGCCCTCTTCTGCTTCAACTCCCTGACAGCCCTTTGGGACTCTGGTCCCGCAAGTAGAGAATTCCCATTGACTTTTAGCAGCCTCTGCCCCGGGAACTGTTTCTCCCAGGATCCTAGGCGGTGGGGGTGCCTGGACAGGTTGCCGTAGGAGTCTCGCCGTGGCTGTGTTTGGACAGGTGCAAGTTGGGCTGCGTATCGGTTCCTATAGCTTTTAGGCTGGGAGGGTTAACAGAGTGGGGAGGGTGGGGTTGATGAGGAGCCCCAGGGTTGATCTTTAACTTCTTGAAAGGTAGGTGAGGTTTGTGCGGAAGTGCCGGAGGCTAGGATCAGGCTGGTGCGGGGGCTGTGACTTCTGCTCCCACGCCCCGCAGCGTGAAGCGCCATCTGCTTAGATCTCACTTGGCAGCTCACTTGGAGAGGCCGCTCTCACCTCACTGCCAGAGAGAGGGGAGCTGAGGGTGCAGCGGTGGTGAGCCTGCCTGGGTCCACCACACTTTGCCAGGAAAGCTGCAGGGTGTCTAACAGGCAGATGGAGTGGGGAGGAGGAAGGGAGCAGCACCACACAGGAGCTGGGACAAGCGAAGTCAGTAGCCCTGAAGACCAGAGCCAGGGCGAGGACTCCTTCATCTCCTTGAGACCCCCTTGGATCCTGTCCAGGCAGGAGAGGTGACTTCAGCCTGAGTTCTCGATCATCTCTCATTCTCTCAGTCACTGCTGCACAATGGTGGCCCATAGTAGGTACTCAATAAATATGTTGATTGAATGAGCTTACTGTGATATTCAAGGGACTTGGGGTGGGGGAGGCAGGGATGGGCTTTGAAAGTTTGACAGGCAGTGAAGGAGATGGCTAGCCAGGCTCTGAGTGGGAGCTGACCCTTGATATTCTCAGGACTGCTGGACCCTCTGCCTCCAGAGCCGAGCTCGACCTGCATCTTGTCAGCCCTCTGGGACCGCAGGGACCATTGCGACTGATCCCTATGCTGTGTGGTTGCATTCCTAGCCATGGCCAACAGGTGGCAGTGCTGCCTGGGCCATGAGACCACGCTTAAGGATCCCACAGCTGGGTAAGGCTTCACGCCCTCGCTCGGGGTTAATAACATTGCCTATTAGAGAGCCTACGGCCCCCAGGGTGAGAGTAACCAGCCATCAGGGACCTATTGAGTCCAAGGCAAGGAGAAGGGAGAGTTGAGACCTGAAAGCCAGCCCGATGGGAACTGGGCATTACCCACTTCTCTCCCGAAACAGCCGTCACTGGGGCCGCTCTTCTCTGGCAGGCCACATATGTTCCCTAGACTGTTGGGCCCCAGGATTCTTGTATTCAGGATATTCGGTGCCATCAAGCTGGGCCTGGGGCTGTGCAGGGCCTTCACTGGGCTCCAACCAGGGTGATTTGTCACCTGGGTGCAGGAGGCGGGAGCTGCCGACTGGAACTTCTGTAGTATGCACCGAGGGCACCCCATGTATTGGTGTGTCTACGGTGGGGGGGATTTGGGAAGATGGAGGAGGGGCCTGGTGTGAGAGAATGTGTAAAGGAAAGGACTCACCTGCAGCTTTGAGCATCTGCCTGAGCACCTGGGATGCAGATTACTCACTGGCCGTGGGCAGCCTCGGGGATGACGATTTGATAAAAGTGCCATCTCTAGTGCTGGCTGCCCAGCTTCAGTTCCCCTATGTGAGAGTCCACCTTGGACAACTGGGGGTTTCTGCTGAGGCCATCTGGGGATCTAGGTAGTAGCTATTACTGGGGTGTTGGGTCACTAGAAAAAAAGCCACGGGGGCTGAGATGATTGTTTTGGTCCCTGGCTCATTTCAGGGGACTAGAAAGGGACAGAGGCTTGGGGTTTGTGTCTTTCCCTAAGCTTATAGCTGCTCCTGCTCTAGATTGGGGGATAGAGCTGTGTACCCCCAAGCTCTGACCTCTTCTGTGATTAATGAGCTGATGATTCTGCATCGATAAGGAATTAACCTGGAGCCCCTACCCATCAATAGTCAGGAGTCCATGTCCCTGGCCCCACCCCCACTCCTCACGGAGTGCTCCAGGGCCCCCCCCCCAAGCAGACCAACCCTGCACTGCTTTGCACACCCACATCCAAGTCCTCTCCCCAACACTGCTGTCAGGAATTAACCCCTTAACTGCCTCTGCCCACACCGCCCCATCACCTCGCCCTCCCTGCACACATACACACAGGCAGCAGCTGTTTATATTGGTTTAATCCAAGTCAAATGTAGTTTACAAAGGGAAAGGACAAGTACCTTTGTATAGAATATACAGACACAGCATCACACCGTGGGGCCCATGTGGGAGGGGTGGGGGAGACCACTTTCCCTGGGAACAGCAGTTCTAATCCCAGGAATGGTTCTTGGCAGAAGGCTGGACAGCCAGGAGCACACTCAGCCAGCCCCAATCTCAGCCCTTGCTTTAGCTCGGTTCCCATTTCCTGTGTCTCGCCCCTCCCCCAACTCCTTATAAAGAACCCCAGGAGCTAAGACTAAGGAGAGGATCGTGTCCCTTGGGGCATGTGGCCCATGTCTGGGGGAAGAAATATACATCACTGAACACCGAGCACATGGGAGAGGGAAAGGGATACCATGGGAGAGAGAGAGGCAGGCGCCCTGAGAGGTGGATGGGCCGAGCCCCCAGCCAGCCCTGAAGGGGGCACTGCTTCCAGGTGTTCTTAAAAAAAGAAAAAAAATCATACAACCAAAGGGGAGGGGATGGAGTGGAGGGTGAGGAGTTGTCCCATTTATACACAACATTGTAAACATACACAGTCTATATTACATGTGCTTCAGTCTGGTGTTTGCATGTCTGTCTGTCCGTCCGTCAGTCTGGGGGCTGGATCTCAGGAGCCTTGCCCCACTACTCCCCCTCACCTCCACCTCCTTGCCCCACCCTGGGGACAGAACCTGGAACAGATATGGTCCCCAGTCTTGGTGGCAGCCAGCAGGCAGGGCCTGGGCCTCAGCCTCCACTCTGGCTCCAGAGTCCTGTGTGTGTGTGTGTGTGTGTGTGTGTGTGTGTGCGTGCGCGCGCGCACACACGTGCACACAGGTGCACGCACACGTGTGTGTGCACGCATGTATGTACACGGGGAACCTGTGTGCAAGTATGTACAAGGGGGAGGGTCACATCACAGAGGCAGGCAGGTGGGGCTGCTCGAGGCACGGCCCGCCAGGGGTGGCTAGCTCACAAGTAGATTCTCCGCAGGTCTCCGGGTGCAGTGATGGTGTTGCACTGAGGGCAGAGCTTCTTGGCACCCTGCAGGGAGAACAGGGAGGGCTCTGGTTATACACACCACGCCGCATGTTTGCTCGGGACAGCGTGGGGGCCTGCCGCCATGTGTCCCTGCACCCATTGTGTGCTGGCACCTCAGTCCTGTCAGCCCAGGCTGAGGAGGCACGGGCGGGCCTCTGCAAGCAGGCAGGCCCGCTCCTGTGCTGGGGGGACGCCAGGATCAAACCGCCTGGCCAGCCCCGCAGCGGGAGCCCCGGTAATGAGAACAAGGCTGGGTCCAGCTGTGGCTGCGGCGGCCCTAACGAGATTACATGCGGCCTTTGATCAGGACACAGAGCCCACGTCCGGGCCTTTTATTGCTGTCTCCGGGCGACATTTTAATGGCTGCTCCGGAGCGAAGAACAGGGGCAGGAGCAGAAGGAGCTTAGTAATGGCAGGGGGAGGGGCTGAGGCCCTAGTCCTGCTTACCCACACCCAGCCTCCTCCTGACCCGGGATCTCACCAATGTGTGTGACAGAGTGGGCCTTGGGGGTAGGCAGGGGGAGGGGAGCAGGCAGTGAACCCACGAAGGGAGAGGATTTAATAAACCTGGTGGGGGAGGAGAGAATTGGGGGACCTGGGGGGGGTGAATATCCTGGCTTCCCGCTGCCCGTGTTCAATGCTCATCCTCTCCCCTGCCCCTTGCACCTCCCTCCCCTCGGCAGGCTCAAACGTGAGCATGGACATATGGGCAGCACCAGAAACCGCCACCCACTCCCCAACCGCCATGCCCCCTCACCAGGGTCCGCAGCCAGCACTCCTCGCAGTGCACATGCCAACACTGGATGGACGTTAGGGGCATCGAGTAGGAGTCCTAGGGAGGAGGTGGGCACAGAAGGGGTCACTCTGAGGCTGGCCCACCCTCTAAAGAGCTCAAATCACAGTGCAGAGGCCCTTCCCAACCCCCAAAGGGCACTGAAGCCTGAGCAGGGGCATCCCAGGTTCCCTTTCTCTTACCATACAGATGAGGCATTTGTAACGGTCCCCACGGGATAGCTGCCGTTCAAGTTCCCTGACCCGAGCCTTCAGGGCCTCAAACGTGGTCACAGCTGAATCTTCGGTGATTCTGGAAAGAGGACAGAATGGTTGGGCAGGCAGCAGGCTAGCATGTCTAATCTGAACCTCCAGCCCACACCTCCCTTTAATTCTAGAAGAGTGTGTGTGTCTAAGTGTCTACCAGATGTCCCTGCCCCCCACCTGCCCAAATCCTGTATCTGTAAACAACTCCTTCTAGAATTGAACTCCTCACCCTCCTTGTTCCGCCACCTCCATCCTGGTGAATTTCCAAACCAGATACCTCAGAACCATTCTCAAACCATTCCTTCCCAGTCACCCTCGACACCTACAATCTGTCATCTAGTTCCTAGTATCTCCGTAGTCTCTCCACTGCTACCACTGGTCCAGGCCCTCATGGTTTCTCCTACAATTCCTCTGCTGACCTGAATGGCCCCCTCTGCCTCCAGATCCTTCATTTCCATTCTCTCAGCACCTAGAATTTTGTAGATTTGACCATTTCTACTTCAACATTTCAATGTTTCCCTCAGACTAAAGCTCTACCAAACTCCTCAGGCGCTGACCAGGCACTCCTTGGTCTATAGCCCCAGCCCACATCCCTAAGCACCCCGCCACACTTGATGCTCCAGCCACACCAAACTAGGAGGCTTCCCACACACAGCACCATTTTTCACTCCCTTGGCCTCTCGTGGCACTTTCTGCTTCCTCTGGACCACTCCACCTCCAAACACCAGAAGGCTCTTCCAACCCTCCTGCCAGCACCACCGCCGGTGGCTGCTCTTCTGTGCTCTCCAGCAACCTGCACCAGACTCGCCCACAGTACGACAACGGCAAACGTCCTTTGTCTCCTGTGCAAGACGTAGTTTCCCAAGGACAAGCTGCTCACGCCACCAAATCTGACTACGGACATTAGCCCCACGGCGCGCACGTGAGTATGATAAATGTTTGTTGACCGAAAAACCAGTCTCGCCCCCAGAGTAAGAGATATGTGGACTGCACGAGTCCCACAGAATCCAGGTCCTGGGCCACAGACCTGGCCTACCTCAAGGGCTCCTTGTTGTTTCTTCCTGGGCACATCAGATGCCCTGAGAGTCCTCACCTGCTGTTCAAGCCCTGCCCATGAGGTCCCTCTAACTTCTGGAAGGCTCTTTGAGCTGCAGTACTGAACAGTGAAGACCTAGGACTATCTCAGTGGGGTGACCCCTCCCACCCCTTCTAAAACAAGTTAACAGAACCCAGAGGAGCTCACAGAAGGGGAAGAATGCTGCCTGGAGGACTAGAAAAGGTGCTACTAGAGATGGGCCTTAGGGAATAATGATGATGATAATTACAAAAGAGCCAAAATTTGTTAAGCACTTACTAAATGCCAGAGATTGTACTGAGGGATTGAAAATTATTTTATTTACACCTCACAAAAACCCCACGAGGAGACAGTAATATTCCCATTTTATATATGAAAAAGCTAAAGCAGCAGAGGAACACGAAGTGGCATGCCTACGGTTCACACAGCGTGGAGGAGGTGGCACAAACCCCACAGACCGGTGCCTGGATCCACCGATAACTCTGGGACTATATTACAACACTGACCATACCCAGGAGAAGCGGGGTCTCCAGGCCCAGAGACCGGGAGGAACAAAGGCCAAGAGGCCCATGTGGCTGTAAGGCTCACCCGTGAGTAAGTGCTAAAGTGGGAAAGGAGATCGGGTCAGGGAAGACTTCAGAGGCCACAGTCAGAAAGTGAAGTTTATCTCACAGGCTACGGGAAGGTGCTGGGGCTGCTGGAGGAGGGCGGTGAGAGGTTAAGAGTGGAGGTTAAAAGGTGTGGTCGAGAGAGAGAGAGAGAGAGAGAGAGAGAGAGAGAGAGAGGGAGGGAGGGAGGGAGGGAGAGGGAGAGAGGGAGAGAGAGACCGCGCACACTGAGGGGGAATCCTGAGTGTGGCACCATGTGGGCAGAGACGCTCTCCTAGGGTGGCCTGTTCTGCCGGCCTGGAGCAGACAATTGGCTCAGAAAGCCCACGGTACTCACAGGTGGTACTGGCGGTGAGTGGTACTGGGGGGCCTGGGGAGGATGGTGGGTGACATTCCATGGGCAGCAACAGACTTTGCTCTCTGACCGTTCTCTCTTAGGGCACCGGCGGCAACAAAGAATAGGACTTCTTGGTGCCACGTCCCTGTGTCAGGGATGCCCTCGATCTATTACTCCTCGGGTCCGTGACTCTGCCCTGCCTCTCTCCAGGGAAGCTGCGAAGGGTCCGACTCTGGCCCCTCTGACACTGGTGGATTCTGGGAGTGTCCATTCAACTTGCCAGATCTGGAAGCCTTCACCACCCCCTTGAGCCTTACAAACACCAGCACAACCCTTCCCCTGGCGTCCTGCCCAATGCCATGTGTGCCATCCTCATCTGGACCGTTGGTAAATTCCTGACAAGGGAACAAGGTAGCTGTGCTCCCTTTCTCTCTAAGGAAAGGCTGGGCATTTGCCTGGTCCTATGTAGTTATTTTAAAAATTGGGAACCTGAGGCCTGGAGTTGGGGGCACAGGCCAACCCCAGAGCAGAGCACTCTCAAACTCCCTATCAGAGCAGGAGAGCTAGAAAGGCGGAAAGGATGGGGCCAGGAGAGAATGAAGCCGTCTCCCCCTTCATCTCCAAAGGCTCCACAGGCCACAACCAACTGCAGAGCCCACCTTCTCGTGGATCTGCTCAGCATACGCCTGGCTTGTCATCTCTGCTCTGGTACAATACCCAATTCTCCAGTTCCTGACCCAGGCTGCTTATGAGTTATTCCTGAGACCATCCGGGGCATGGGGTGGAGATTTCTTGGGAAAAGCCCTGGGTTGTGAAAAAGATCTAGGGCAGGAACCCACATTGTGTGTACCAAGAAAAGAGAAGTCATGGGGACTAAAGGTTCCCAATCCTAGCAGAGCCAGACCCAGTGGAGATCTCTGCATATGACCGAGCCCATCTATGACTCAACCCAGAGAACCTCGCCTACTGGTGCCTGCGCTCATACAGGTGGGACAGAAGTCCCAACCTCCCCCAGCCTTGGGTGGGTAGTACATTCATGGATGGCCACTGGCTCTGGCCTCCACCTCCCCCTCGGGCGCCATCCCTGATTAATGATCTTGTCTTTCTGATTTATGAGCAGCCCCTCCAGACGAGGGTGGGTGCCCCTTACGGCCCCGCCCGCCCCGCTCAGCTGGAGTAGGAGAGAATTATTAAATAAACATCCATACGTCATTCCTCCCCCCCAATGCCGGTTGCGCCGAACCCGTGCGGCCCGCTCCAGCACTGACACGGAGCAGCGGCGGTGATTCATGGGCAGCCGGGCCCCGAGCCGCGGCCCATACATCATGCCAGCAGCACTCGCGGCCCCGGCCGAGATAAACTGATCAACCACAACGGGCTGGAATGAATTTATGACAACACAAAATGGAGAGAAACAAATGGGAGGTGACCCTGGGCCACCGACCCGGCCCTGCACCGGCCTGCAATCCACTCTCCTGGCGGGAGGCAAGATGGAACACTGGCCCTGGAATGAAGTGGCTGCCTTTTAACCCCAGGCAACCTAGCCTCCAGCAGAGGTGGGGGGGGGCGGTGCGGGGAGGTAAGCAGTGGCCAACAGCAGCAACTCCAGGCAGCTAGAGCTGGACAGTGCCACCTCTGGGGGCCAGAACTGGCCTCTGGACTTCCAGAAAGGCAGTAAGACGCCCAGCTGATTTCAAGTCCTTGCGGCTCCTGGGGATCCAGGCCAGGGGCTGCCCAGCCCCATGTGAAGTGCTAACGGATCCCCTTCCCCGCTGCCGGAGAACCTAGGCCAAAAATTCCTACCAGAAGTGAAGAGACCCAATGCTCCTGCCTAAAACCCACCGCGAGCGCCACCCGGGACAAGAAAAATGAAACCAATTTAGCTCCCGATTAAGAAACAGAAACTGGAGATGAATCAAGTGCGCCGGCTGGGCTGGGCGGCCATACATCACATTCCCGGGTGGAGCTGCCACAGCGGGCAGGGAGGTAGGCAGAGTGCTCCTCCCGCCGCCAGGACTCCCAGGGCAGTGGCCCAGCGATCAATTCACAGAGTCACGCTTAGCACCAGCTGGGCCCCACTGCCGGTCGTGTGCCCAGGGCTGCAGGACTAAGCTATGCTCCGGAAGGCCAGGAGTCCTGGCAGCAGGCCTTCCTGCTCGCAGAGAGCCCCCTCTCTCCCCTCCTACTGAACTGTCGTCCCAGGGGCCCCTCTCCTGGTCAGACACTCACTTCTCGATGTCACTATTCTTGCAGGTCTTCTGCATGGCCTCCTGCTTGCTGCTCTCACCGTTGCTGGTAGATGGCATCTCTGCTGGGACAGAGGGGCAACTCATACTCTGGCCAGACTGGGCAGCACAGGTGAGGGATTGGGCTTGAGTCAGTCACCACCACCCAAAGGATGTCCCCTCTCCCCAACTCCCAAGGTGGGTCAGGACTTACCATCACTGGCCCATTTAGAAAACTCAGGCGTGATGCGTGTGCTGGGAGGGCCGCCACTAGGGAAAGGAAAAGAACAAAGTGAGCCCTAAAGGCAGGTAAGGGAGCCCTGAGGGTGGGTACTGGGTTGACCCCTGCCTCAGGGCTTCCCATCTCTCTATCCCACCCACCCAAGCCTGTGCCCACACTTGCTTTAGGACTGCGCCCCGTAGTGCCTCTCTCTCCTTGGCTTCACCAGGCTCCTCGCCTGTGCAGGGGATAACGTCAGCCTCCGTGTATCTGGCATGGCGGTCAAGGACAACAGATCCTAGTTTGCAGCAGGCCGTGAAGGTTGAATCCTGCTTAAAGCTTTGACACTGACCCCAAGGGGGGGGGGTGGATGGAATGAGCAAGTTCCAGAGGTGCTGGCTACTTTTTCAATTCCCTTTGGCTTATCCCACCAGCCCCACACCGTGCCCCTCAGTGCCCCAAGGATACTGCGGCTTCCCATACTCCAGAGTGTCATCCCCATCCACATCCAGGTCAGCGTCACTGTCCGGATTCTCTTTGCCACTGCACATGACGAAGCCAGAGCCTGTGGGAAGCAGGGTGTGAGCGGGGCCAGGGGCCAACAAGACTACACCAAAGGTGCCCCTTCTGTTGCCTCTAAGTAGGGGCTCAGGTTTGGGGCCAGGTAAGGGCTAGGCAGAAATTTGGGCCTGAAACATAGAGAGCCAATTACTTAGGTACCCTTGGCTCTGATGTTTCAGTCCCTTTCACGCTGTATACCTCATCCTTCTCCTCTGCCACTTCCTGCTGCTCCTGGTGCTCTCTGCTCATAAACTAGCCCATTCATATACACTGTCAGGTCCTCAGGAGACACTCAAGCTAGTCTGCTGTCCACCTGTCTTCCAGGTCGAGGAAGAGCAGGAAGAGGACACAGAAATTCAAGGTCTACAAAGCCACCCGCCCCCCCAAGACCTGGGCATCCCCTGTGTCTCATGGTCCACTGTGACAGTCCATCAGAGGGAAGAGCAAACTGGCTAGGGCCAGTCAGAGCCACACAGCAAGACCCCCAGCCAACGTCCTGATTTTGGCCGCCAGGTCCCTGCCAGCAAAAACACCAGGCAGCTGTTCAAATATTTGGTGTCTGAAGCGCCTGACATTAATTATTCATCTCCACCTCACTCAGCCCAGATTCCTGGACAAGTGCAGTTAGAAAGGGATTAGGAAGGGACGGGCGAGGGAGGATAGGCACGCACACCTGCTTCTCAAAGCAATCCACAAAGGCATCCAGGCTGGGTGGAGGCAGGGCCACGGGCCAGGCAGGTGGCTGACCCTACACCAAGGTGCACTTGGCCCAGCCACAGGCAAACCCTTGGCCAACGGGGAGGGGTGAGCTGCTGAAGCCACATTAGGGCCCCTTACCTGCCCTGTCGCTCTGACACCCAGACTCACCCTTCCTTATGGGCACGGTCAGGGGCCACAGAGCTGCTTCTCCATCCCTGCCCCTACCTCTGCTCCGTGGTCTCAGACCACATCCCACTGGTAAAGCATAGCAGCCCTGCCAGGATGGACAGAGATGAAAAAGGCAGAATCTGTGGCAAGTAGAATCCACAAGGAAATCCTCAAAGAGGCGAGGAAGCAGCTCGGGGTTCTGCCTGATGACCTCAGAAACGTCTTCTTGTCCGTTCTTTCCACTCTCATCAGGACAACAGTCTTATGATGGGTCCTCAAGCCTCTTGTCGGTGCCTTCATCCTGCTTACCAGGTAGTTCTGACACTTCCTTTGCTGGCTCCCAGACCAGCTGTGGCTTCTCACTTGCGTGCATAACCTCCTCAGCCAGACCCTTCAAGATGTGGGTGTACCTACTTGGCCACCTCTACTCTTTTCTTCATTTTACTACATAAGCACTACGCCTACAGATAGACTCTTTACTGCACCTCACATGACCCCGTATGTCCTGCTCTTGAGACTTTTGCTCATGCTATTCACTCCATGTAGAATGTTCTCCATCTTTCAAGCCCATTTTCTTCCTGATCTTCCTTCTCCCACCTACGCCTCCGGTCTCACAAAGGTTTCACCCATCCCAAAGGCAAGGAGCATGAGGGAAAGAGAGCTGCTAGGCACTGCCTAGGCGCCACCCCTCCCCGACAATCCTCATTTCCCCTCCGCACCGAGGCACCAACAAACTCGAGGCAGCAGGCAGGTCACAGCAGGGCCATTAAGCTGAGAAAACACCAAGTTACAGCTCTGTCCCCTGTTCACAGCCAGGTATCCTGACAAGCAATTCCCTCCTTGTGGGTGAGTGGCACCTCTATAAACCCTCTGACAGTCTGGGAGACAAACTCTGCCATCAATCAGAATGTAGCTATCAGGTTCACTTACAGCCTGTGCCCCCGAACCCTGCCAAGGCCCCCTCCCCCAACTACACACAGCTCAGCAGCCGGCCTCACATCCTCACCTCAGCCGTGCCCTGCCCAGCCCTGCCTGGTGAGTGTACAAAAAGGAAAGCAAAGGACCCAGGGCAAAGCTGAGGAAACAGGGTACCACAGAGCTGCCAGGAAGAGTCCCAGTTTCTCAACACAGAAAGCAGCCCTGTGGCCTGAAGTCCTCTCCTCGGCCAGGCCTGGACCAGGACTCCTACTCCAGCGGAACATAGCTACTGTGCTTTCCTCGACCCTCCATGTCTGTTTGCGCGCCAGTGCCTTCGAACATCTTGTCACCTCTCCTCCCTCCTGGTCTACAAAACAAACACCTGCTTGTTCTGCAAGTCTGACCTAGCTCAGCCATGCCTCCTGCTATGAACTCACAGTGCCGATGTGCACAGTTGCTCCAGAAATACTTCCTGAATGAACTCACCCCAACAACATTCTTTCGACCTTTACCGAGCTCATCCTCGGCCTGGCTTGGCACTGGAGACACAGAGTTTCAAGATCTGATCTCTACCCTTGAGGTGCTGAGTGTAGAGACTTCTCCAGGTATTTCTGCATAGGTGTCCCTTCCTTGGTGTCCACCCAGACTCCCGCGCAACTCCAAAGTCATAGTTACTACATGTATTGTCACAGTCTCTCATCAAACTGCAAGCCCAGGTCTGACTCATTGGTGTGATCTCAGCATCATCCAGCAGAGCTGGCCAGGCCCACAGCCGTGACGGCTAAACGGTGACAGTCCTGAGAGCCCTGTGTCCGAAAGGAGGCTGAGGCCCGAAGCCTCTCAGGACACAACCTTCCCGGCCAGACCCCAACCCCAGCTGGGCAGTGACGACCTGCCAGGTAGGACAGAGAGCACAGCACATCTTATCTGCCAAGGAAAAGGCCTTTCTCTCTCTGGTCTGAGCGGTTTACTATGACCCTGACCCCATCCCCCTGTGGAGACAGATGTTGGGAACCTCTCCCTACCCCCACAGGTGTTCAGAACAGGCTGCTACTGCCAATTTCCCTCTTATGCTGCCCCAGCCTGCTCCAGCCTCCTTCCCAGCACATTAAACTTTATTTTCTTAATGAAATGTCACTTGCTGACTTCTGGCAGAATCATAATAAAAAGAAACTGCCATAAAGCCGTTTTATGCAGACAGCGGCCCCCCCTCTCCCCCCCAGCTTGCTTTGAGAGGAAGGCTCCATAGCCGTTTTATGTTCTCAGCTGCTAGAACGTCCCAAGCCAGTGCTCAGAGGCAAGATGGCACACAGAGCTCCTTTCCAAGCCTCTGGCTCCTGTTCCATGTAGCGCTGGGGATAACAAGCAAGCTGCCACTCCTGCTGCTGCTATCCAGGGAAGGGACTCAGCTCCCAGGACCTCCAAGATGACCTGGGGGACCCTTCAGTCACCAGGGGAGGCCCCTTGCTATGGCTCAAGCCCACCGAGAGTGGTGCAATGTGGTGGGCTGCTGTCTCTAGGCAAACTAAGCCTGCTGGTCAATGATGCTCAGCAGAGTGGGTTCTGGAAGGGTAGGCAGTGTGAAAAATCCCTTCCCTCCAAATGAATGCTTAGCAACAGAGAAGAAGAGGATTAAGTGCAGAAATGATAAGGAAGTCTAAATTTTATAAAAATGACCCCTCTCCCATAAACTCATTTCTTCCTGGGTCATCGAGAAGGAAAAAAAAAAATCAGTGTTAATTTAATCAATTGATTAGGTGATCGACTGAGAAACTGGAGATGCCCGTTCACTGGGGGCACTAACGTTCTGGAACCCGAAACCACAAAAAAGGAGCCATCAATTTCCTCACCTGCTGCTCCGAACAAAACCTGAGCCCAGGGAGAAAGGAAAGTCTTGGGGCCCTTCAGAGGCCATGCTCTTGGGGGGGTGGGGGGAGACGGGCAGCAGCTTCCGGAGAGTTTTACACTGGAATTAGTTACAGATGCAGTTACGGTGTCTTGTGTAAACGCCATCGATTGGGGAGCTGACAGTCTCGGGAGCTGCGATGCGGGACAATCAATCGGCCTGCAGTGTCACCTGCCACCTCGCTGAACAGTTGACAATGCAATTATCCAGTGTGGAGGCAGGGAGTTGGCGTGTGTCAAACGCACTTAGCCACTTTCCGGGCCTCCTCAATAACGCGTTTCACTGCCTCACGTCAGGAGAGACGCAGAGAGACGGACGCCGTTTGAAACCATTGATACTTGTTCCTTCTGCCTGCGCTCCCTCCATCCCAGCTTAACAACTGCGTTCCAAAAGGCCATTAAAATCCCCGTCAGTTGCCACAGGGGACAGAAGGTGCCCTGCTCCCTGCCACCTCTCCTCAGCCCTCCCAGCAGGCAACAGGTAGAACTAAAGGTGGCAGGAGCTGGAAGGCAGCAGCCCTAGCCCTCCTGGTTCCAAGACTGCCTCCCGCAGCCAGCTGCTCTGACACCTGTCACTGACCTGACCACGCAGCCGGCGGAGCTGCACCGGGGGACACTTGTAGCTGCGGGGGCTCCCATCTTTTGGGAACGGACACGCCAGAGGGGGCAGCATCGAGGGGAAGGCCTAGTTCTCTGTGCCCTGGGACTCACAATACCTGTCGGCCCCTGACCCAGAAGCTGGTGACGTTTTAGCAAGTCACAGCCCGTTAAAAGATCGGTCCCAGAGCTGCCCTGCCTGTCCTCTCCATGAGATCTCATCCCAGGCTACTTGAAACCAGCCTAAATCCGAGACAGGAACTTGAGAAAGATGTAGTCGCTAGGCCAGGATCTGGGTAGGGCAGAGGCCTGCACAGCCGGTTCTCTAAGTACCATCATTCTTGCTCCTCTCCACCTGTTTGATTCAAAGGGGCTCAATGCTAGATTCTAGTGACTCCTTTCCTGTCAGGGCTCACAGATAAGGTGCAGCACTTCCTAGTTCTTGTGCAGTCTCCTGGGAAATGTTTCCATCTTGCCACACTCTTGTGCCCGCCCCCATCACTGTTACCTTATCTGAAACCAACCATTCCCGTGTCCTCTCTCTCTAGCCAGTCCATTCCAGAACGATGGGCTCCAGGCTCCCCAAATCCAGCTGGGTGAACTTTCACTGGCAACCAATACAAGGGAAGGATCAAATCTCACCATAAGTCTTTTCTAGGACCCAGGAGCTGGAGACAGGAAATGAGGAGAAAGGTGTGGCTTGTTCATCACATACCTCCTTTGACTATAGAGAGGAGCAGGTTTGTCCCCAGGGGCTGTATTAGTTTTTCCCTGAGGCCTGCTGCTTTAGCCCAGAGGCCCTTTGCTCTGCCCAGGGCTGGCACGGTGCCCCAGAAGAGGATCTTTTTCTCCTGCTAAGCTCTCTCAGGGGAATGCCGGGGAAGTACTAGGCCCCATGCCACCCTTTATGCAATTCTAAAGCTGGGTGGGGGAAACAGTAGTACCAGACTAGGTTCTGAGAAGACATCAACAGCTCAGGCACATAGCCCAGGATTTCTCTGAGAACTGGGAAGGCCACAGTATTTCCTAGACACTAAAAGTTTTAGGTCTTCCGACCTACCGTCTTGAAATCTTTATTTCCTTTAGCCTCTTAAAGATCTGCTTCTAGCTGGACCTATCTTGGTACTGCTTACTTACCTGTTCTGTCTGGTCCTTCATTTTGTTCTAGAGTCCCAACTCCGAGCACTCCGGGCCTGAGCTATCTGGGCTTTGCCCTCGATGGCCACAGGCCCATCTTCAAGGCCTGTTCCCCTTAGCCAAGTATCTCCACCAAAACTCTTGCTTTTTCCCTGGCTCCATAGCAGATTGCATTCAAGGTAACAGATCTGCTCCATCAGATCAGTTCCCAGCGGGCCTGGTGGGAAGCTTTACTGAGGATGACGAAGGGGCCCTGGTCTGGGAGGAGGGATAGGGGATGATCGGATACAGGAACTTATCTGCAATTCTTCAATTCTTTCATATCTAACAAGGACAGCAATCTCTGTTCTGTCAGCACGTACAGCGCAGCTTAAATGGGCCTCACCACTCGCCCGCTCATCCTGCCTCTGCTCCCTCTCTCTGAAGTCGGCTGGGCAGCTTCTTCAGCCGGCGTTATCACTCCCTCTAACCGGTCTTGGCAGGCAATCTAATTCCTCCTGAAAAGGTCACCGCCATTTTAACTGCCTTTCAATCACATTAAGCACGCGCTGCCCGGCTTGCGGCCCGGCCCGCCCGGCGGGCGATCAATGCGCCGCACTGACACCAGCCCGCCTGGCGGGGCCACACCCAACCCCCCAAGAGTTGGGGCCTACCGGTCCTGGCCAGGGAGGGTAGACTGACAGATGGCCGGCTTCTGCAGATGGGGTTTCAGGGGCAGAGGCAGTCAGGATCAACCAGGGCCTCCTTTGATGCCCCCCCTCCCCCCCACCGAGGAGCCTCAGCCTCCTCTGCTCCACTGCGCCCCGCTCTCTGCCTCGTGGCCCCTGCTGATCTTGCTGTAAAACAGCCTTTCAAGTCTGCTTGTCTTTTGACTGCACTAAGCTGTTTAAGAGGCGGCCGCAGCTTCTATCAGGCAAGCTGGAGCCATTCTCTGCAGATAAAGGCACCTCCGGCCCTGCTCCCTCTTCAAGCCTCACTCTCGTTCTCGCTCTCCAAATCGCTCAAAGAAAAGCCCCCTTTGAACTCCCCTCAGGAATTCTTGAAAGGAACCACCTCACAGTGTAAACACTCAGGGAAAACTGACACCCGCCCAGGGCCTAAGAGCACTGCACACCCGCTCTGCAAGTACATCCGGGCACAGGGGAAACACCGTCAAATCAGCAGGCCCCACGTATGTAGCTTTATCCTCTGTAAGCCTTGTCTGGTGCCCAGAAGGCATCAGGTCCAGCTCGGTGCCAAGAAACCTAAGAAGTTGCCACAGTAATGGAAGATGTGAGTATCTGCAGCTACCAACTGGGAACCCAGAGTAGCATCCTGCAGCTGACCCTGATGGGCCACCACCAGACACCTGTGTGTCCCGTTTCCAGGATCCTGGGCTTTTTGCTGCTCATCCTCCTCCCAGGGCCTCAAACACTCTAAAACTACAGGACAGGACCAGAGTGAGGTGGCAAATGAACTTTCTCCAGCTCAGGCTGGGGCAATGGTTTGGGCTGATTTACCGTCCTACCTGACACACTGGCTTGCCCCAGATGCTTGGGGACTGAGAGAAACCCAGAGGCATAATGCCCCACCTGGACTTGGAGCCCCTTCACATATCCAGTCTGCACTGCACGGTGCTGTGGAGACCGCTCCTCGGGACCAACCCATGCAGCAAGGCCTGGACAAGGCAGAGACCCTCTTCCCAGCTGCTGTGAGATTCCCCAGGGACCAGACCCACCAGTACTCCCCCAGGTGTTGCCCAGAGAACTGGAGGCAGATGGGAAGCAGACTGGTTCACTTAATGACTGTAAGTCGCAGGGCCAGCTGTGCTTGTGCACAGGCAGAGGAGAGCTAGAGGCCAGGAGGCAGACTCTTTCCCTTTTCCCCTGCCCAGAGAAGGGGAGTCTGACAAGAGAACATGACCCTAGGCATCCAACCAGTCTACTGTTTGACCTGGGGTGGGGGGGAGTGGGAGACTTCCACTGGGTGAAGCCATATCCCTCCAAGGGGCTGGAAGGGCAAGGGAACTGTGCAAAGCCCTGCAGATCCTCTGCAGCAACTGGAGCGAGCCCAAGGGAAGCAGGGAGCAGCTGGGCCCAGGCCCCTCTTGCTTCAGGGCAGAGGGCGCCCAGGGAGAAGGGATGGGATCAGAGCTAAAATTAGATTCACCAATGAAGCTCATGGGAGGTCAAATTTTGCCATAACTCACTCTCTCCTCTGTAACTGATTTCCCTGACACGGGGCTGAGGAGGAGGAGGAAAATCCAATGTGTTTGCCTGGAAGCCCTCAGGGCCCCCAGTGCTGGAGGTGTACAGCAGGTTGCTGGATTCTCATTTATCAGCCTTAAGAGGGATGGAGTGATAAATGCATAACTGTCCCTTTAATATTTTATGCAGGTGCTAACGCGGCCTGGCTGTCACCTTCAATGCATCACCCGAGGCTGAGAGCCCCCCTCGTCACTCCTAGCTTGCAGCCTCACAATTCCATTTCCCCACCCAAATACATCCATTTTAATATGCACATCACAGGCAGGCAGCACGGTCACAAAGGAGCCCCGCCGGCAGCAGTTCCCACGTGGTGGAACGGGTGACCAGCCACCAGCCCTGGCCTCTTGGCTCCCAACAGATGGATACCCAGCAGAGGCCCGGCCACCAGAGCACCAGTGCTTTACGTGTCAGCCGCTTGTACCTCGGAAACCACCTTCCAGGAGAGTGGTGGCCCGTATCCGCTTCTGCCCGCACCACTCATACTCCTCAAAGCGGTTGCTGTTTTCATGCTCGATGTCCACGGCATCATCCTCAGCCACGCAGGAGCCTTCCCTCTGTGAAGAGCAAAGTAGGATCATGGGTCCCGGGCCACCGCTACTTGCTCCCCCAGGTCTACAAGGAAGGCACAGCCCTGGCCCCCAGCTCTAGCGCTCCTTTCAAGGAAACCAATCCAAAAGTCAAAGAACCTAGGCCTCTTCCCAATAATTTTCCACTGGAGCCCCAGGGGAGGAGTGGAAGCATGAAAGGAAAGGAAGAGGGCGAAGAACAGAGAGGAAGAAGCTGCTGAGACCACACGGAGACCCCAACACAGCCCCTACATCTGGGGGCAGTCAGCAGCTAGTGTCAGGGGAAGCAAGGGGGGAGGGGAGAAGAGGTAGGTAGTGATGGCCCCTCTACCTTAGAAAGGCAATGCTCCACATGCCTACTCATCTCCTGCTCCGATCCTGCCAGGGGGCGGTTGCACAGGGGACATACCTGCCCTTCATCTTGCTTCCTCCGTTTCATTTTCCCAATCCGAGCTGCATGGAGAAACCGAAAACAAAGCACAGAACAGGCAGACAGTCACTGTAGCTCCCAGGGTCCCAGTGGAGCTGACACATCCTGACCTCTTGCCAGCCATTAGCCCTTTTGTTCAGTGCCTGATCTGGCCCCCATTATGCAGCACCTTCTGCTCCTTTGGGGACTGGGCCTTGCCAAGAGCACCTGGGGAGGAGACTGGTGCTAGGCTAGCAAAGTGTCCACTCTTTGGTCACAGATGGCTCAAGTTCAACCCATACCGTCCTACCTGCAGTGCTCAGTAAGTCCAATGAGCAAAGACTCTCCAAGTTGCTAGGTATCTGCCCAGAAAGCCAAGACCATGGGCTCTCTTAGAGAACATCTCTTGGCTAGAACCCAAGGTCCCTCCACGGGGCCAATTTGTCTTGCTGGTCACTCACCAGCTAAAACCCCTTTTGTTCCTGGGCCAAGGGCCCTGTGGCACAGCCCTCAGTGTCCTACCTAGAATCTCTCAGGAAGATTTTCTCTCATGTCCACTGGTCCCATTTTTTAAAACGGAATGCTTCATAAATTTGCATATCATCCTTGTGTTGGGGCCATGCTAATCTCTGTGTTGTTACAATTTTAGCATATATGCTGACAAAGAAAGCACTTCACTGGTCCCATTTTACAGAAGAGAAGACTGAGGCCCAGTCATAAAGGTATAGAGGATCTGAGTCAGAGAGCCCATGGTACCTCGAGCGGGCAGCTTTCATTGCGCCTACCCAAACCTGTTCCATCATTTCTAATCAGTGCAGGGGGCTGGCAGGCCCCTGAGGCAGACGGCTGCCTGCCATGCTGTCCCGCAGGGGGCTCAATTCCAAAGTGCACACTCTAAGCCCAAAGCACTGCTAATTAATGCTGAGAGATGCAATCATTTCTAATTAGCTCACTAATCCCTCTCTGCAGCCCTCCTGTCACTGAAGCAGGAAGGGGTCAAAACAAGGGACTGCCACCCTCCCCGTGCAATAGCAGGAGTAGAGCTAGCCACTCAGATCAGACTGATTGAGGGGTGTGGGAGCCAGCCAGGGAGAAAATTGTTCCCCACTGTAAGGCCAGGAAAAACTTTCTCATGGATATTGACCCTGGTGGGAAGCTCATGAATGCAGTTTAGGGAGGGGGACACAGGTGAAAGCTGATGTTACAATTTAGAGCTTCAGCTGTGTATTAGGCTCAGCATCAAATACCTTACACAAGGTAGCTCATTTAATTCTATATTCAACCTGAATCAAGGTTGCATTATCCATTTTAACAGAAGACGCTTAAGGCTCAGAGAGAACAAGGCACTTGCTCAAGTAGCTAAAAAGTGGCAAAAACAGGAGAAATCAGGCCTGCCTCCATAGAATGCTCTCCTCTCCTAAGAGTACCACACCTGCCCCCTGACTGACAGCAGCAACAAAGACTGATCTGTGAGTGTGCTAGGGCACTAAGAATACGTACGTGGGGACCTACCTCTTGCCTGTTGAGAGTCTGAGGCAGAGAGCTAATCCAACTCCAAAATACTAGCTCTAGGAAGACCCAAACCAATAGGAAATCCATCACCCCACCAGAGATGGCATGGAGTTTGAGAAATCTTGGTCTGTTGCCTGGCCCCAATCAATTTCCTGTGGTCTCACTACAGGAGAGGGGACTATGAGTGCCCTCCTTGATTTGGTAGACAAAGATCTAGATCCCTTCACCTTGACTGTCCTAACACTTGGAATTTCAGGCTTGAGCCACCTTGGCACCCTGCAGCCAGGGCTGGGATGGAGAAATCATCAGAAAGGCAAGGGACCCTGATGGTTCTTGAAGCCCATATGGAGCAGTGTGCCAATATAAAGGGCCTATGACAAACACTGATGACTGAATAAAGATTAATCTTAGAGAACTGCCAAGGAGAGCATGATACTGTACATTGTTCTTGCCCAAGCCACCCGGGACAGAAGATCCCTTATAATCCCAGGAAAGCACCCTGATGGGTTGGACAACATCTGAACATTCTCAGATAACCAAGGCAGGTTTGGTTTAACTTGCCATTCATCTTGTAAGTCCTGAACTAAGCTTACTAAAGTGTAGGTAGTGTTTGCTTAAGGAGGGAGAACGACATGGTCACAGAAGCACAGATTTTGGAGGTAAACTTCAGTTTAAATCATGGTTCAGTTACATCCCATTTGCGCAATTTTAAACAAATCACCTTCTCCTCTCCCAGCCTCAGTTTCCTTATCTACAAAATGTGTTACCACTTTCTTCTCAGAAGTACTACGATAATGATGATTAACATGGTGTCAGGCCATAACGAATGCTTTCCCTTTCCCGGATCAGGGCTCAGCCAGGCAGCAGAAACCAAGTGGCAAGAAGTGGAGATCCTGAATGTCCGACATAGCCTCACTCACTTACCAGGTGGCCCAGAGACCCTAAGCCCCTTACAGCCAATACCCAGATGTACCACACCCTAGTCAGCACAAAAAGCTCGGTTCACCCAATTGTGTTCAGCAAATAGTAATGCTTCAGAGGTCTGAATCCAAAAGGGGGGGCACCAGGTAGTGCATACACGACGTGCTTTCAGAGAAGGCCTCTAAGAGCTGTTGAGCCCACGCTGATCACCTTTGTGAAATGTGGGCCGACTGATAACTCAAAGAGCCCTGGGATGAGTTAGTTCCTGTTGCCGTGGGAACTCCAGATCTCACTGCATTGTCAAGTCTCAGCAGAGAGGCTGTATTCACACTACTGGGCGCTGATTAAAAACTGGAAGAAAAACATTCTCAGCGCCCTGCCGGCTTGTACAGTGAGGTCCCAGCAGTTTGCAAATTCAAAGCTGAGCTCCCGAGTGGAATTGTGTAGCTTGTTCCTCATTCTCTGGTACTTATTGCCCGCCAGGGTTCTTGAAGGCCTTTAGAGAGGCGTGGGCAAGAGCTGGAACCATAACCTCCATTAGACAGACGGGGAAACTGAGGGCGGCCGCCTTGGTTAGCACTCTCTCAGGCGGTCTGACTGCGACGAAGCCCAACCGCCCCTATGTCGAAGAGACCCAGGCAAGCCTGGAGCTGTAGGCAGTGAGGGAGGGAGGAGGCCGGGGGTGGGGCGGAGGGAGGGGCCGGGCAAGACTCACCATTCAGTCGGGTCTGCCGGTTGGCTCGCACTCGCAGGAAGGTCTGGGAGAAGATCCCGGGCAGAAGCAAAAAAAAAAAAAAAAAAAAAAGAGAGAGAGTGAGAGAGAGCGTCAGGCGCGGCCTGGAGCCCTGGCCCCCGCCCCAGCACTGGACCCCGGTCCCGGCCTGCCCCGCCCCAAACAGCCCGTAAACAAACCTACTTCCTCCCTCCCGCCGGCCCCCCTGCTCCGCCGGCCGCTCCGGGCCCTCGGCATAGCCGCCGGGGGATGCTCTAACGGGACCCCGTGGCCGCCGCACGGTGCCGCCCCAACCCCGGTCTCCGGTGCTCCGGGCCCTGCGGCCGCCCGGCCGACGAGGGCGGCGATGCGGGCGGATTCCCCCCGGCTGCCCGGCGGCGGCGGCACCTCAGCTCCCACCGGCGGCGGCGGCCATGTTGGCCCTGATCACGTGACCCGCTGCCGTCGCGCGCCGGGGTGAAAGTTCACGATGGGGGGGGGCGGCCGGACCAGGACCAGGAAACAGCTGCTCGTACTCCGGTAGTAACCGGCTGGGGCCGCTCTGGGGTCCCTCCCACCGTCCGCAAAGCCAACCCGGCAGAGTTTTAGCCGCCGCCAGGTCCTCCCACTCCACTCCACGCCCCCTGCCAGCGCGGTGCTCCTTCCGCCCGAGAGCCTCAGTCCGGTCCCCGGCCCCGACCCCCGCTTCCCGCCGGGCTAGCGCTTTGCTGGGGAGGAGGCGTCTGGATTCCGGGTCGCCTCCGGGCGATCCCACCGAATGTCCCAAACTGTCCCTCCCCCAGCCCCTGGCCTTTCTGTAGTCCCGTTGCTAGAAGATTCCCAGTTCAGCTGTCTCTCGGACAGCCCCTGGAGGTTTCGCAGGCACCGCACGTCAACGCGGCCAACGCGGAACTCGACATCCCCCAAACAGCCGCTTTCCTCCTGGGTGTTCGGATAGCGCCATCCACTCAGTTGTGCTCATACCGGAAACGTGAGAGGTGTCGTCGGCCCCGCCCTCCTTCATGCCTCACACTCAGTCCAACTTTAGATGCCAGAGTCTATCTTTAAAGGTCTCTTAAATGTTCTCATTTCCACCTCTGTGTATCTCATCTTTCCAGGCCTAAGCAAAAATATCTTTTCCTCCCGTTAGAGTACTTTGATCTCCATTGTGGCGCATACAAATTTTTATGGTGGACTCACCACTCCAGGGTTGGGCCACGTGTGGGTCATATGGGTGAACCCAGGGCCCTGCACAGCGCTTGGCATAGCGTATTTCTTGAATGGCTATACCTGCCTTGGATGTCACTGCTCTAGTTCATAATCTGTGACCTCTCAAAATTTGTCTCTCATCTGGCCTTCTGGTGTTCAGTTTCTCTCCCTGCGACCCATCCTTCAGACTACACACAATGTGATCTTTTGTATTGTATAAAATTGACCCTGTCTCCCCCTCCCCCACATCTTTAAATCCTTCAGTGGTTCTCCACCTAGATCTGCAGCATGGCATACAGGCCTTATGTGACCTGCTTTTTTCTTCAGACTTTTCTTCTACTTTTGCTCTCTCCCTTTGCCATCTTGACACTCTACCGTTGCAGGGCTAACTGTAGTTCTTTAGCACTCCATGCTCTGGACTCTGGACTAGATTATCCTCCATGCCTCCATATCTGCTGCTTGGTTAACGGTTGTTCACCCTTCAGGACTCTGGGAAGGCTCCACTTTTCCCCAAATGTTGGGTTAGTTGCCTCCTCTGAGTTTTCACCACCCCTTGGCTTCCCTCTGATCTTGTATATTGTGATTGTTTACATGTGTGTTCCTTCTACTGGGGGTGGGGTCATCTCTATCCAGTCACCCAGCACAGGGTCTAGCATGAAGGAGGTATCAGTGGGAAGGGGAGAAGGATATTTATGAGGGGAGCCCCTGAGCCCAGTGCAGGGATGGGAAACAATCAAGGATTCAGGGCCAAATTCCAGTTCAAATTCTGAGTCTGTTACTCATAATTTATGTGTTCCAAAAAAAGTCACATCCCCTCTCTAGGCCTGTTTCCTTAGCAATAAATTGGGGGCAACTAATCCTAGTCTGCACAGTTGCTATGAGGGTAAAATGAGGTCATGGTTAAGGGAGTTAGGTAACCCAGAAGGGGCTAAGTAAATGGGAATCCAAACCAGAAACCAGACCCCCCCCCCGGCAACTGCCCAGCTTTCAAGACCTAGGTTCGATGATTTAAAAAAAAAATCCAACAGAATTGACCAACTAGTACATGCCAGGCATTGTGTAAAGATCAGGGGAGGGGATACCCAGCTAGTCTCTGGGGAACTTTCAGTGTCACCTTCTACCAATTCCCCTTATATTTTACATGCTAACAAAACTGAACTGCTAGCAGGTCCCCCAAGTACATCATTCTGTGATACACCTCTATGCCCTTTGCACACAGCGTTGTCTTGAAATGGCAGACCTTCTTCTTTGTCCACCAAAGTGAACTCCTACTTGTCCTCTGAAACCCTGTTCAGTTGTTACCTCCTCTGTGAAGCTTGCTTTGATTTGCCCCTCTTTACACTGTGCTGTCCCAGAAACTTATTTATAACTGTCACAGCACTTAAAACACTGGGCTATAATTATTTATTTGCAAATCTAACCCCCTGAAGGCAAGGACACTGGGCTGGGCATGTCTGAGTACAGGAAGGGTGTAAAGAAGGATGAGACAAGGTCCTTGCCTTGGAGGAACTCCCAGTCTAGTGAAACAGTCATGCTCATTGTGATAGGTTAAATATGGCCACAATTCTTTGCAGCTCCTTCTGTCAAGAGCTGCATTTCCTCATCCCTTGATTATGGGTTAGCTTTGCGACTTGTTTTGCCAAGTTGATGTGTGAGTTCCAGAGTCTGGGCTTCAAGAGGCTTTGCAGTTTTGGCCTTCACCCTCTTGGTGTGACACTGCCCTGAGGCTGCCAAGTAAGGAAGCTGATCTAACCTACTGGAGGATTAGAGGCCACATGGAAGAGAACCAAGGCATCCAGATCTCCCAGAATGTGAGGCTTTCCAGCCTAGTCAATCCTCCAGCTGAATGAGCTGCATAAGAGGAAAGGCCCAGTCAACTGAAAAAAAACCATAAGAAATAATACATTGTGTTAAGCCACTAAGTTTTGAGATGGCTTGTTATATGTCAGTAAATAATGGAAACATAGCTAAACAGGTGATCGCAATATAGGATGATAAGGGCAATCATAGGGACATACAGGGGTCATGAGAAGAGATAGCTAATCCAGAAAGGCTTCCTGGAGGAGATGGTATTTGGGCAGGATATTGAAGGATAAATAGAAATGTGATGGGGTGGGGTAAAATAGTCCCATAAGAAGAAACGGCATGTGTAAAAGTGTGCAGGCAAGAAAGGAATGGCACAGCCAAAGGGAGTGGTTGGCATTAATTACGTGGGGATAGCCCATAGGGTTCATGGAGGGCAGTGTTAGGAATGGCAGCTGGAAATACGGGTTGAACCTAAATCAGAGAAGACTTCAGTACCATGCCTTAGCATGCCGTGCCCATGCCTCATGGTAGTTCTTTTCCTAGTTGGGCAGGTACTGAGGCTGAATGCTGTGCCTGAAGTAGAGAGGGTGGCAGAATGCCCCCTAAAAGCAGGGCTCTGTCCATCCCTTTGGAGTGGAACTCTCTGGTACAGAGCCTTGTCTCCCTATCAGACCAGAATTCCGTGGGGTTGGGTCCTTTCTTCACTTACACTAGGGTTGTCTGGGTGAGAGCAATGTTCCCCAGGGGCTGGACTGGACTGCCTCTCTTGAACCAAGGTTTATGAGAGTAGGGATTCTTCTGGGGGCCTAGCACTTTGGACTATGCAGTTTGAGTCCCATATAGAAGCACAGGAGGTGCCAGTGGAGGCTGGTGTCCACTCCCCTGCTCCCTTCTCTAAGCTCTGCACCCTGATGCCAGGCTGTGTCAATTGGGAGGAAAGGGGGCCCAAGCTGAACATCTCTTAATTCCAACAAAGGCTTCCTGTGTGCCAGCAGTGACCCAGGTCCTCTATCTGGGATTATAGGTCCCTGCTGCCTTGTCTTTCCACATCCAATCAGGGCTTCTGAGTCAGAGCTGTTTCCTCCTTTTACGCTGGGGCTTCCTGAGAAGCCCTATTGCCATTGAGACAAATGTTTCTTGGAGCAAGGCCCTGTTTTCTTCCATCTGACTGGGGCTCCTAAGGGCAGGACTCTGTCTCTCCTCAGACAGAAGCTTCTGGGGGAGTTCTTTCTCTTTCCTATCACAAAGGATATCCATATAGAGCTAGGATGTTACCCTCAGGCCCCCTCTTGCTGTGATCTTTTGGGACTGTGTGATTACTCTCTTCCTCTTTGCCCAAGGCACTCACAGGTAATGTCTGCCTGTTTCTTTCTGGGTCTGATACCAAGGTTTGGCAGGACTGAATAGTTATTCGCTCAAGGGATCCTGGTTTTGAAGTCTTCAGGGGATTTGGGGCTATGTCTCTGGGTCCCTCATGAAATGAAACCACATAGGATACCTCTTGATGAATGAGAAGCTTCAGAAATGCTCAGAGCCCACCAGAACCCAGGTGACCTTGGCATCACTCCTTAAAACCCATCTGTAGAAGGCCTATTCCCTGACACCTGTGCCTTCTGGGTTCAGTTAGGGGCAGTGGACGCAGAGGGAACCAAATACAGTTCACGTTTCTCTTCTCCCCTCCCAAGGAGGGGGAGGAGATAGCACCAGGCAGGCGCCTCTAAGCTTTCATCTACGTGAGCTTCTTTCTGACGGTCACCCAATAAGAAGAAACGGCATGTGTAAAAGTGTGCAGGCAAGAAAGGAATGGCACAGCCAAAGGGAGTGGTTGGCATTAATTACGTGGGGATAGCCCATAGGGTTCATGGAGGGCAGTGTTAGGAATGGCAGCTGGAAATACGGGTTGAACCTAAATCAGAGAAGACTTCAGTACCATGCCTTAGCATGCCGTGCCTATGCCTCATGGTAGTTCTTTTCCTAGTTGGGCAGGTACTGAGGCTGAATGCTGTGCCTGAAGTAGAGAGGGTGGCAGAATGCCCCCTAAAAGCAGGGCTCTGTCCATCCCTTTGGAGTGGAACTCTCTGGTATGTTCCAAAAAAAGTCACATCCCCTCTCTAGGCCTGTTTCCTTAGCAATAAATTGGGGGCAACTAATCCTAGTCTGCACAGTTGCTATGAGGG